CTTTGCTCCAAAAACATGCTTTTCCTAAATTTGAGCATGGTCATGAAGTCTTTGATTGCCCTTCTATCTTGACTTTTAGCTACTTCCCTATCCCTGCTTCAATTCTGATTTGCTTTCTGGTCCTGATTTTCTGCTTGCTTTCCTTCATCCCACCTTATTCTTTGTCCTACAGGACAAGTCATAATAACATTACCTCCATTAGTGAAGGCAAGCTGCTTTCCAGTACCAGTTACTAAGGATCATGAATCTTCTGCTTTTCTCTCCTTAGCTTCTCAGAGGGGCTACTAGTTGGCCAATGTGGGATGCAAATGTTGGACAAGCTAGCTTTCTAGATTTTGTTCCTAACTCCTTCACTCTGGCCTATTTTGCAGTGCTGCTTCCTGACTTATTCCATACTAGTGAATGAGGGGTGCTTTCTTAGGGTGTCTAAGTGGACACTGTATGATAGTGTCAGAGAGTAAACTTTGTGAATTGCACAGAAGTGCTTATTTTGCAATTGTAACACTTTTCTTGCCTTACATTAGCAAAGTCAAACTGCCATGCAAATAGCAGATCTTCATGATACTGGCAAGACCAACATTCCTTACTAGGTAACTTCCTCCCTGTGTCAAAAATGAGCTTTGACATGTATGTCAGATGTCCTCCAATTATGTTGATTCACTCAAGGATAAACATAATAAACACTTAGAAAACAAGAAGAATCATACTATTACAGCAGTATGAACAGATAATTTATCTGTGCCTTTGATAAATCGATGCCTATGAGACGTGATCTCTCTTCCTTGGACAATCTGGCCTTCCCGCTTCCAAAGATGACAGCCTCCCCTTCTGTATCTTGATGGTTGCAAACTAATTATTCAATCAGCCTATAATCCTTAGAATTTGGTGTAATCTAAGACCTTGGTTTTGCTTGCTAGGAGCCTGGTGATCTCTGTATTCTTTTGCTAGCTTAATAAAGGAAGTCGATTTTTCTGAACCCCTCCAGCTCAACTTCTTCAGGTGACATTTCCATCACAACTGAGAGCCATACTTCCTGAACAAAGAAATGGGTGGAGAATAAAAAATTATTTTAATTAATTAAAATCACCCTAAGATATATACATATGGTTAGTATGATTATGTTCCATGTCATCATTTTTTTCTTTTGTCATATTAAAAAGTACTATTTAACAGCAAACTCTGGAAGGCCCTGAGGACTTCACCCAAAGCTTTACAAGGGCAACAAGTTATGCACCCTTCCCCTACATATAAGTTTTGCAATATAAGAGTGAAGTGAGCTACCAAGGAATATATTTCAGCTATCAGAAGTTTAGGATGTACTGATATCCCTGTATCCTACAAATGAGAAAGTACTGATATCCCAGTATCCTAGGATTTGCCTCCATTTTTGATGAGCAAAAGGATTGCTTTATAATCTTCCTGGGAACTAGGCTGGGATAGAAATATACACATATTAATAAGCCACGCAATTCTCTCTTTCAGTTGAGAACACTGAAGACCAGAGTCCATAGCCTTAAACATTTAATTTGGCAATAGAACTTTAGATGTCCTGCACAAGTGCAGTGAGCAAAGCAAGAACATTCATTTCCACAGGCAGTTAGATAGGAACAGCTGGTGCTGGCAGATGTTGCCCATGATTAAATTCAGAAGGAATTTGACACATAAAGTTGGAACATGAATTCTCCTCCTCCTCCTCCTCCCTCTCCTTAATATGTGTCACATTTGCAGCCAATTTGGCTTGAAGCCAACCTTCATATAACTCAGTTAAGGACTTCTAGGTCACTTTAAAGTAGTAAAATATATATATTAAAAATAATTTAATTCATGAAGCTTGACAAAGATTTGAAATGGGTCCTTTGAACTCACAGAAGCCAGGATTGTTTACTGGGCTAACAGTTATCCTTAGTTGTAAGAGGTTTTGGCATAACTGAACTACTCTTTTTAAAAAACTGTTAGAAATCTGGTATACTGTAGGGACAGACCAAGACACTGTACCACCCTAGGCAAAGCAATGAAAGACACTCACTCCTGTCTCCAAGTCAAGCACATAGTCTCCAAGATTGGTCTAGTTAATGTCAGGCACTGGAGCAGAAAATCCCAGTAGTACCACATTATGGGAGGAAAAATCCATCAATGATGTTTTAAATAGCTAATAATTTGATGCCCTTTCATCAAATCCAATTCAGTTTTCTGAAGCAACCACCATTTGTTGCCTAATGGTAAAGCCATGAAATTTTACATTCAGTCTATAATGTAAGCCCTTTTGGACAGACTGAACTCTTCAAAAGTATTCAGGAGAAAGATGTATCCATTTATTCAATCACTCACTCAATCAATAATAGTTTGAAAGATGAACCAGAGGTTCTGCTAACTCAACCCTAACTTTGAAGTGCACTTAGCGAGTTAGCCTTCGATAAGCACTCCAGGAAAAAAAAAAAAACAGTTGTGATACACATGAAAATGATATTTTGTAAATCCACAGCTGAATAAACCTGACGTTTTTCCATTTTCAGCATCATCGAGAAAATAACATTAATACACTTCTCCATCACAAGTGAAATTACTTTCACTGACTTCTGTTTTTGAACTTTTCTTCCTCCACCTTTCTACTTTAAAAAAAAAAACAAAGTGGATGTAGTTACCAGAACCATTCTGAGTGAAGCAAAAAAGTGACACTTTCCCAAGCACGGATGATTGTTCACACACTGTGTAAACTGGATTGTTTTTGTAATGAATTCATTTTGACAAGAGTTCACTGGGAGCAGGTTCAGGCCACATGAATCATCCCAGTTAACATATGCAAATGCTTCTCACAGATGATTATTACTTCTTTTATAATAGTCATCACAAAGCATTCATTTTCAAACAGTAGGGTGAGAGTAACCCGGTGAATTGCTTTGTTTAATAATTGCATGGCAATATTTGAATAATCCACCTTACTCGAAGAGTGAAATATCCAAATTGTTGAGGCAAAAACCTGTATTCTGAACAATTCAAAAGATTTAAGAGAAACTAGAGTCTTGATGAGATAAAAGAACCAGCTATTTATTTCACTATTCTTCCCCTTCCTGCTTTTCTACTCTTCTCCAGCCACCCAAGTTTCAAGTATATATTTGAGTATCCATTCACATCATGGATTTTGGAGGCCTTTTTGCTATACAAAGCAAAACTTTGGGTTTCCAAAGAAGGCTATCATGGGTGCCAACATTGGGTACACCAGCTTACTCTACCTGGAATGTTCCCACTATCTTTGTTCTCTGGCATCTTTATTACTGCAATGATGATGGGAACATTTAACAAATTATTCCCTAAATCCTAATCTTTTATGAAGATAGCACCATCTTAAATATACAGGCGAATTCTAGGAAATCACAACACCCTGAAATCTGACATTTGGGAGAAACCTCCGTTTTAATATATCATTGTGTAGCCATGTATAGGGCTGAGCGGTTGGACTCTGTAATATTTTTAATTTGAGAAACATCTCAGATGGGCACAAATTTACTTAATTAAAATGAAAGAGTGCGACTCTTTATAAACCTCCTCTTCTAGTAATTATTTCAAAATAATTTCCCGTAATCATAATTATGAAAAGTAAACAATTATCTTAGAAAGTGCATTTCTTGGCATGCTAGGGCCTACTGAAAAGGATGTAATATTCTGAATTGTTGCATACTTGTAATTATTTCTAATCAGTTTTCATAACACTGAACAAAAGAAACAAAGCCTTTCACATGCACAGTGCCTGTTTTTTTCCTGGGTTTTGTTCAGCTTGTATGCAGGTCTATATTTGTTGCTTAAAGTATCGAATGAACTTCCAAGATCTAGGGACTGGGTCAATACCTCTAACAATATACAAGTGTCTAGTCAAAAGAGTTGACCACAATGAAACCTGCATATATTCATTATCCTCCTTTCCACTCCTTCTCTCACTTCTAATACCTACTGTATATCAACCAATCTCAGATTTCATCATCTGCCATAGCTCTCTAAAACTGCACTGTGGTATTCCAAATCAGAAGCATGACTGGGCAACCAGCTGGCCCTGTGGGCAACACTGGCTGTAAAGTCCCAAGCAAAGAGTGTCCCCTGGTTCATAGACACATTATTATAGGTGTATATACATTCTCTTCCTCCTCCTTTCTCCAGTAGGAAATTATCCCCTCCAACAGAAAACAGATGGTCTACTGGTAAGTTAGTTACGACTGGAGCAGCATATAAACACAGTAAATAAGTCAATAAATACCGTATTTTTCCGACTATAAGATGATACTTTTTTCTAAA